AACTTTTGACTGCATATTGTTTTGGAAGGAAGAGTATGATTTGTATTAAAATACCATATTCCAAAATTTTAATGATTGGTGGAAAGAAAGAAAAGGCAAAATAAAGTAAAGGAATCTATAAAGATTATGGCAGCTAAATTTGGCACTTGGAGCATGCACCTAGGCCAGTCTAAAAGAGTGATAAAAAGGAAATTAATTTTAAAAAAAAAACAATTGTCATCTTTTTCCTTAATATATTGTATTGTATGGAACCCTTGATAATTTAAAAAGCTGATCAAAGATTGACCTTTGAGTATAATTCACCATATTGTGGAAAGACAATTTATATTTTGACCAAAAAGGGGAAAAAGAAGTTTTATAACAATGGGTTCATAACTTCAACCTAGGCTCCCTACAACCAACATTGGGCTTTGGTTTGGAGTAATTTGGACAAAGTGCACAAACAACCATTTTTGGGCTGCTATTTAGGGGTTAACCAATATTTTTATCCTGAAATTTTGAATTACAAATCTTATTGTTAGGACATTCTTGTCCCGAAAAATTGACTGAAAAACTAAAATTCAAGATGCATTGGCTAATTTCTAAATATCAGCCCTTTAGAGTGGCTACCTAGTATCATTTCTACGAGCAATTTAATTATTCTCTAGCCCGGACATCTCTTAGACCTTCATTTCCCATAATGCAGTCGGTTTTTGGAGAAATTTGACTCCAATGCTGCTGCATTTTTTGTTGCAAAAATGGGGGATGAATAGTGTCACTCCAAATTTGGAGCGACATTATTCATCTCCTCCATTGCTATTCCCTATAACTTTATTATTATTTTTATTACTGATTGATCTCTTTATATATACCTAATTATGTTTATGTAATATCTTTATAATATTAATTTTACATCTTAAATTTGGTGTATAATTTTGATAAATTAATTTTTGTGCATTTATTATTTTTATGTAAAATTATAAGTTAATTTTATTATAAGTTATAATTGTACAAAAAATATATAATCATCTCAAAAAATGAATGGTGTAAATATAAAATATTAGATGTTGCTAAAATTGAAAAGTAAAAATTGAAAATACATTAAAATTGAAAATATATTAAATTAAAATACATAAAAATTAAAACTGCAGTAAATAGCATAATAACTTAGTAGGGACCTATGTCGTTTCCAGATACACCAAAATTATTATAATATTGAGTGAATGGGGTCGAGAAGTGCTACATGATATAATAACTACATGTATTATACTGCACAACATGATAATCGAGAATGCGCGTGATCTTAATGCACCAATTCAAGATGATTGGGAATGTCCACCTCCAATGGTAGAAATGGTAGAAGATGAAATCACCGATTTGAACAATTTTTAGCTCGACACAAAAGAATTAAGGACAAAGATACTCATTTTACACTTCGTGATGCATTAATAGATCATTTATGGGAGCATACTAGAGGTGAAAGTTGAATATTTATTTAGTATTTAATCTAAATTTTACCATAATGTAATATGTATTTAATTATCTTGTATCTCAATGATTTCACTTTTATTTGAATTATTCGTGAATATATATATATATATATATATATATATATATATATATATATATAAAATCTATAATATTTTCTTACAAATTATATTATTTAAAAATTTATGGTGTAAAATAATTTTATATTAAATGGTTATATAAGAAATGAATATAAATTATATGTGATGAATATGTAAAAAAGAAAAAAAAGATAGAATTTCTTTAATAGAAATAAGAAAAGAAAATCTAAATAAAAAATAATAATATGATATTGACGAGAGAGAAGAATATAAAATGAAATATTTTTTTTGGAGTAAAAAATAGAATAGTGGTTGGAGTAACTTTACTCCATTTTGGAGGAGAAAATAGAGGCAAAGGTTGGAGATGGCCTTAACACCCCTTTATCCACAATTTAAAAAAAACATGCATTTGTAAACTTAGCTTAAGAAATAGGTATCCATTCCTTCTAATGCATTTTATTAGCTAAGTTGTAGTGGTTAATAAAGGTTGCAGATATTTTAAGATAATTTTTCTTCATATGAGTTTACTTGCAAAAGAGATTTTCGGTTTCGAAATTGTCAATTACAAAAAGATGAATTAAGGAATGTTAATTAACAGTGTACAATCTGCGCAAACTACTCTTTTGTGACAAAATAGGTGCAAAATATACCTTTCTTTAAATGCAATATTAATAATACACGAGTTTTATGTTGGATTATTTATTGTAATACGTAATTACAAGCTAAAAGGCAAGCTCTAAGGACCTTTTATCTTTTATTTACTGTTACTCATGTTCTATTTCATATTTTATCTCGCACAACATAATCTATATTATATTAAAAGTACGAAGACACTTAGTGAAATGTCGTTCGCCTTTTTTATCTTTTAAAAATAAAGGTCACACTGGATAAAATAGTCATTTGCTTATTTTTCTAATATTAAAAAATAGACATTTAATTAATTCCCTAACATTTAGGAGTTTGTATAATAAATTTTTTCCTTATTTGAACTGTATTAACTATTATGACATTTAGAACTTTAAAATCATTAATATTTTACCTTATATAAATTTTGCACTTAAATTATTTATAAATAATAAATAAAATAAATAAAGGAGAGAATAAGAACACTAAAGAAAGAGGAAGTGCGTTTGGCTTTGGATAACATGGAAGTGGTCCAATTTGTTAACCTTTATACGTTCTGATTTATATGAAACTCTTCTATATTAGAATATTTAAAAATATATAGAAGTCTATTCCACTAATAATAGTATTCTATATTATAATTTTAGTTTTCAAAGCTTTTAAATTAGCAATTACAATTATTTGGAATATTGAGCAGAAATCAATAACAAACTCCAAAATTATCAATTATTCCAACAAGATAATTTATGAAATCTTTTAACTTCTCTAGATTGTATTAAATTTAGCTGAATATAAGCGAGTTTCTTAACTATAATTATGGCTTCTAAAAGGGCATTTGAATTGTAGACTTTATTTATGATATAAAGTGATTCTTAAATTTTTTAGATTTACAAAGAATTTCATTTGCTTTTCTTTGGAACATGTCATGCATGAATGATTTTTCACCTAATCGGTTTTTTAATATTTGAAAAAGAATTCTTATCGAATAAAAATATAATTGCAATTAAATACCTAAAATTTGGTATGATCTAGCTAATTAATATTATTTAAATACTAATCTCACTTAAATAATGATATTTCCAAATTAAATAAACACTTCACATTCTAACTTCGGTCATTCTTTGAAATGCATTTTAAGTTGAATATTGAGTATTTTTGTGGAGCGGTTTCAATTTTTATTAGTTATATAGACCAATATTCATTATTTTTAAGAACTTATATTTTTATTTTATAACTCAAAGATAAATTTTAAATAATTTTTTATTGAGTTAGGTACACGCGCAAAGCGCGTACACTAAGACTAGTAGGTTTTTATATACGTAAATGTGATAGTATCAGTAACGTAAAGTTTAAACCTAAAAACTAAATGATACATTAGTTATGCAGAACTATATAACGAAAATAAAAAATTATTTAAATTATGCATAATTACATTAATAAGGATTCATTGACTAGTTTTACGATGGTCATCAACTTAACCTTAATAAATTTGAGCCAAAATTATTTTACCTTATATCACCATCCAAACAATCTTGGGAAAATACCATCTATGTCCATTTATAAGTAGCTTATTACAAAAATTGATCAATTGATAAAATATTACTAATATTAGCCAATTAGCTATTTGTAGTCAAAAAGGTCAATTTTTTGCTTTCTTTTGAGTAAGTGTTACTAGAATAGATTGCATACATCTTAAAGAGTTTGAATCTTAGTTTTGAGATGATTTGGCGAAGTTTTGGTGTGGTTTGGATTGAAAATTCGAAGTAGATGATGAAACATGAAAAAATTATATGTGTATCACACTATGCATCATTTGTGTATCACATATGTATCATAATTATATCAAATGTGTATCACGTGTATATCCATATATACTTGTGTGTGTGATACATGTTTGATACATGTGTCGCAAAAATATTTTTTGACTTGATTTTAACTACGAATTTTGATACCAAATCGCCTCCAATCTTCCTCAAAATTTGTATATTGACTCATCTATATGTTTTCAATGAATTTCAACCATACCCATTGAAAAAAGTCCTTTTGTGCTTAGATTTTTTAAATTTTGTATATATATATATATATATATATATATATATATATATTTATCACCTTATTTGCTACTTCATCCATGAAATTTTCTTTCCGTCTTGCATCTAATGTTGCTGATCAAGTTTAAAAATATGAAAGGAGATCTTTGCGTGTGATTCTTGGAGAGAAAGAACCTTACTTATTTGGGTTTTCAATTTTTATATGTGCTTGACTAATTTTTGTAAGTTTATAATTAATGACTAGATGTTTGTAAGTTGAAACTTATTTGGGACATTTACGTAAGATTCCCAACAATCTTGCCCAATTACTTTGCCCTGCATTTGGGCCTATACCAGAGAAGCGAAGTGCACCCATAGCCAGTTTTAGCATGCTATTTAAAATATATGTATAATTTATAATGTATTTGATGATTAATTAATTTGTCCAAACTTCAGGACTAAGTATCTTGAATTTTTTAACTGCTAATTTAAAATTCATGATGTAGTGTCCTAAATGTTTGAGCAGCTAATTTGAAATTTAGGACCAAGTATCCTAAATTTATGAATTGCTAATTTAAAATTCATGGCATAAGATTTGGATTTTTGGACATAATTTTGAACTTTAGGATACGGTGTTATGAGTTTAAACTTTAAGGTTTAAACTTCAAGACAAAGTGTTAGGTTTAAACTTCAAGACAAGGTGTTCTAAAGTTTGAGCAAATTGGCTAATATTTAAATAAATTGTAAACTATATATATATTTTAAACCGCATGCTTAAAAGGCTATACGAAACCGGAACCGACCCGACCCGTTGCTCTCTCCACTCCTCGATCTCTTTCAAGGAGGAGGAGGAGGAGGAGTAGAAAGAAAAAGGTAAGGTGAAATGGGTATTCAGAATCCATTCATTTTCTTCTTTTTCTTGTTCACATTGCATAGAAGTTCAGTTGAATCTTTGAATAAAGAAAGAGAGGCAATAGAATTAAAAGGAGGACCAAAAGATGTAGCATGGGTGGTTCAATTATCTGATCTTCATTTCAGTGTTCATCATCCTGAAAGGGCCCTTAACTTCTCAAATATTGTGGGTCCCACTCTTTCCATGATCAATCCTTCTTTGGTCTTCATCACTGGTGACCTTACTGGTTAGTATACACTCTACTTTCCCCTAAATTTTCACTAATATTACTCCCTGTTTAAAAATTTCGTTCTTACATTCTGTTGATTTGATATTGGGTTTTATGGATTTTCTGTAAAATATAGTCCTTTACCCAAAAAAAAAATGATCTTTTTGTTTCTTGAAACTGTTGGGTTGGAAGTTGAGGTAGGTGGGTTTTTTTTATGGGGTGGGGGTGTAAGGGGGTAGTAGTGGATGTTAAAACAAGTTGCTCAATTTGCTGGAAGAAAAGATTTGAATTTTTATCAATGTGAAGTAGAAAAAGAATTTATGATGCATCTGTGCTGGTGGGAGGTATGAGGTGATCGCTAAAATAGTCGATGTGTGCACAAGCTACTCCGTACACCACCGTCATTATAAAAAAGGCTATGGAGGCATTTTCATGGAAAATAAGGAAAAATAAACCAAAAATCTGTTCTTTTTGTTTCTTAATACTGTTGGGTCGGAAACTGAGGGTGGTGGGGGTTGAATGCGTT